CAGTCTGTGCCGGGCAGTGACCGACTATTTCTGCTAAATGATTTCAACGTGCGCTTTGGGCATGACGCATCGGTGTGGACAGATGTTATCGGTGCGCATGGCATTGGTTCAGCGAATGCGAACGGTGACAGGCTGTTCTCACTGTGTGCCACGCAAGGCCTGACAATCACGGACACTCGGTTTGCACAGAGTGCGAGTGATCCAGCAACTTAGACGCACCCACGGAGTTGTCACAGTAAACAAATTTTTCACTTACTTAAATGGCTTATCGCCCTAGTAGAGTATACAGCCACAGTTGGGTACATTTTAGTAATTGGATGCTATTCATGCTACTTTTTGTAAAATGGTTAAACGACTTGAACACTTTTTCAAAAACAGAAAGCAGGGCAGGACTCAGCGGGAGTTACTTGATGTATTATTCCTGCGATCGTGTCAAAGCCACTGGCAGAGTATGTGTGATTTTACCGCCTTCTAACGCATATATCATATGGCATCTCCAGCACACAATAACGATATGACATTGCCGATTTACTGTACCACTTACTTGTGCATCATTCCACCTAGCAACGGTATTCCTGGCATTTGCTTTCCTATTCTCTATTCTCTCTATTCTCTACATGTCAAGAGATCACTCTCCAACCAAATTGAGGTAGAATGTGGTGTCCCACAAGGCTCAGTGCTGGTACCGCCTTATTCCTGGTGTTTATCAACGACCTAGTGTCAGTTATCGCTTCAAATTTCCTGCTTTTCGCCGATGACACCAAGATATGGCGGGCGATTAGTAACAAACCAGATCAGGATCTGCTCCAGCATGACTTAGATTACATTTACGAATGGTCAAAGAGAAACAAGATTCAGTTGAACATAACTAAGTGCAAAGTGATACATCTGCATCACCAGCCGATGAGCGCTTACAAGATTGGAGACCACATCTTGGCGAAGGTTTCACTGGAGCGTGACCTGGATGTATTGGTACAGGAAGATCTTGGGTGTTCAAAGCAAACAGAGAGGGTGACGAGAACCAGAACTCAACACTTCGGCCTTATTCGCAGAGCCTTCGATCGGTTTGAACCCTCAATCTTCCCCCGCATGCTTAACGCGTACGTGCGACCTCACGTGGAATATGCTATTCAGGCATGGCAGCCATGGCAGAAACAGGATCTTGTTGCACTCGAGACTCCTCAACGAAGGGCAACCAAAAACGTCAGGGGCCTCTTTCATCTGCCCTATCAGTTTAGACTGAAATCTCTAAGAAGGTACAGCAGTCGATATCGGCTTTTGTGGGGGATCTCATAATGGTTTACCAAATTTTGAAGAATCCAAACCACATTTGCCGTCCGCTGCTGGAATAGAACCACAAAACTAAACTAAGAGGTCACCCTCTGAAACTGACAATTCAGTATGGCCGGCTTGAATGCCGTAGAAACTTCCTTTCCCTCCGCGTGTGCCAGCCTTGGAATGCACTTCCTAATTGTGTCGTATCTGCTCCAAATTTGGCGATATCAAAAAACGTGTTGACGATGCATTGTTTCACTTACATTTCATTTTGTGACTTCTTAACCAGGGGCTACAAAACGCAATCAAACGGTTTCTTGCCAAATACCTAACCAATGGATTTATGGATTTATACGTTTAATAACCGAACATCTCCGCTATTCCACATAAGTCTATGGTGAGTCCACCACAACGATTTTCACTTTATCATGCCATTGATTTTCGTAATAATTTCCATCCCACGGGACTTGTTAAGCGACGCTTTTTACCTGTAAGAAACCATTGTTCCTTGAGTGAAGGCTTGTTTGAGCCGCGGGGTCTGGTTGGTTTATGCACATGGTTATGCAGAACTGCCATAGCCATTATTTCAAGGATTTACGATTTAAAGGATGGCCCATTAAGGGATCTTGATGCTTTTGAAGGAACATTATAGTCGTCAAATATTAGATAGTGGAAACACTTTGGTGAAACAGCGCAGCAGAGAAAGCTTAACAGAATGTTATCGCTGTCTTCAAACGATTACGGAGGTCTCTAGATAACTGCTAAGAGGCAAGCATCACGCGTCTTCCGTGATCCAACATCTCGACCTGCTAGGTGCAGTCGGCAAAATAGTGCATCAGAAATAACAAAAGAATATTTGGTAAGGGCCTCACGTTTTAAGTAATCTCGAGAGTTGTGGGCAACATCGCCCCCGCGACATAGACGATTATCTGAATAACTGACATATCAATGATTTCAATCGCTGGATCAAGTATGTTGATTGAAAGCCAAGTTTCAGTAAAAGATATAAGGTCCCAAGCTTTGTGTCATGTTGATGGTGCAGTTCAGAGAGCTTAGAATACAACCCTGAGTGTTGGGGTAGCAGCATTGTATTTGTTCGCTGTGAGTGACCAGCTCAAATAGTGCCGGTCTGCTGAAAACTTTTGAAACGGTTGTTTGCAATGTTGACTAATTTGAGATAGGTACCATCGAAGATGACTCCTCCGTATCTGAGATCTATACTTATTGAAGGAATGGTGTCAACCGTACTTCTGGTGGCGAACCTTGTCATGCCCCTGCTTAGATCACCACTGATACTACTTCGGGTGCAGCTAAGGTAATATTCAAAATTCATGTGCGGGGTTGGGTTACGCCCTTCTCCCTTCTATGATCAAGGCCAACAATCCGCATGAGTCAGTGAACTAATCATACGCAAGTCCCGCTAGCCTTCGAGTGTACATTTAATCGAACGCTTTGGCTGACGACCCGAGTCGTTCTCCTGTCAGGTTTGGGCGCCCTGTCAGTATACCTGTACATCCTCTTCGGAGGTTAGGAAGAGCTCGATGGCCCTTTTCCTGTAAAACCTAGCCATGAAAGACAACAAGTCTGCGGACTATAAGCTCAACACTCGTTTGGCGTAGAGCATAAGCGCTACGCAATGTCGCTGGCGGTTGGTGAGCCCCTTTGGGTGCTCAATAGTTTGTTACTGCCCGCATCAAGCCAGGTAGAGACTGGTACAATGGATGCAAACCCGCCAAAACCCACCTGCGTCTGATCGTGGTCGCAAATGCGTATCCCACTACGGTCGCAAAACATATATGAATCGTTCCAGTGCCTCAAAGGCTGAGTGTGGCGGACCTCAAGCAGATCCTAATCTGTTCATGCAATCACATTCCCGAGCTGGATCTGCTCTCCCCTGTCTTGTGAGTCAGTCTATTGAGTTTAAGTCTCCTGGCTGAGTCCCTCAAGCAAACCTCTGAGGTATAACCGCGACGTTGCGTGTGATTGCTCACCAATGCAATCGTATGCCTGTGCACAAACCACTCAGCATCGGGTGCTGGAACGTGCGCACACTACTGGACCGGAACTCGAGTGAGCTCCCCGAGATACGCACTGCACTGGTCGCGATGGAACTGGCGCTCTGCAACATCGATATTGCGGCGCTCAGTGAAACCCGGCTAGCTGAGCAAGGTAAGTTGCATGAAGCATGTGCTGGCTACATGTTCTACTGAGTGGGCAAAGCCATCTCACACCCTGTGAATATGGGGTCGGATTTTCAATATCCGATCGCGTCCATGGCCAGCTGGTGGGTGAACCAAAAGGCATCAGTGCTCAGAGGTTTAAGTCTATGGTGAGTCCATCACAACGCTTTTCACTTTATTATGCAATTGCTTTTTGCAATAATTTCCATCCTATGGGACTTGTGAAGCAGTTTTTACTCGTAATAAACCATTGTTCCATAATCTACAATGGACTTCTTGTGTGTGCGATGTCGGCGTGCTCGTGCAAGCAAGATCTCCTTGGTTGTTTGTGCCATACTACAAAGGCATCTAATAATGCCAATCAGCAATTTGGCTACCTTCGCAGAGCGCTCAAGGAGTTTAACGCTTTACTCTTTCTGATATTGCATGGCGCGTGCGTCAGGCAGAACGCGGAAAATTACTATCCAAGCGTTGCAGCCCTGACAGAAACACCACCTCATTGCGCTTGATACTGTACAACGCAGAGCTACAAATAATGTCACCGTTTTGTTCTGCCTTCCCATTCCAGTGTCGTTGAGAATGCTAAAATTATGCAGCGGACGTTATCAGCCTATACAGTTCGATCTCAAAATAGCGTATCAGATCCTAATATACACCAACCCTACATGGCACCATCTTTCGAAATCCAGTCAAAACACATCACTATGAGGTCATCATATTAAGGTGGTCACGCAGTACAGCCGACTAAAATGTCGATGAACCACTTTTTCCCTCCGACTATCACAGCCCAGCCACGCCCCTCCAGCGCATGCAATTAATATTCATACGCAATCCCTATTCAACAATTGTCTTGACAATACCCTGACACATGTACACAATATGAGATAGCCCGTGACCACCAGGTGGTGCCATGAATGCAAAACAAACCGTGGACGGTGTAGTAAACCTCCTAAATTTCAGACAAGAATACTCGAAAATGTGCTACTCAGAACACCTAGTTAAGACATGATTATCACGCGTTCTTATACGGACATCGTTTTCTAACCACTGCTCGAAACCTGTCGGAATGAAAACGGTTTTATGTCAAATTTGTCCATTCCTATGCATATTCCGGGACGGAACAGTCTGCCAGTACTTCAGACGTGAGAGTGTACATGTGAATATGCACCTTCAGGTGAATCAAGTAGATTTGTGCGTTCATCGCATCAGCCATGAGAAATTCTACCTAGTGAACCACCGAGTGATGTGTGCATTCAACTCCATTCTCCTAATATTATCAATATCATACCGTTGTGATGTTATAAACTTATTGATAGGCTGAGCTAAGGGCGCTTTGCGCAGAAGTGTTCAGCCTCTCCTCATATATGTGGCAGTATTCTTTTTGCAATGATTCGGAATACCTGTAGCTCGGGTTCGTAATTAACGTTTTGATTCGTTCTCCGAGCTGAGTAATTTAATGTCAGTATTCTTTTTGTTTGGGCGTCCGTAACCTTGCGTTACCCCTCTCCTTAGGACAGCTATTATCATTATATATAAATTTTAACATCAGCAACTGATAGAAAGTTCTCTTTAGCATTTATCTGTTAGCAAAATTGACGTGGAAAAAGCAGTAATGTTGATATTGCCAGACAAGGTGATCTGCAGCTCCATGCAAGTAGGTTCTTGTCATTCTGTACCTGAACTCCCCACCAGTTCGCAAGATTTCTCCCACAACCATTTGCAGTCTTCATTGTTGAGCGCTGTTGAAGAAGGCGTCTTCACTGCGCAATTGGAATAGTAACCGCCAGGTACCAAGTTACTGGATAGCACGGTGTACATCGTTGTCTGCGCTCCTTGCCATGGTGTGATTAGCATCGGTCTTGAAATTTTCATCCAAACTGCCTAGGAATGGTTAATCAAAGGACAATCAAAGGTTAACACATGCAGCATAATCCACTAAAAGTTGTATGACTCACTAGATGGTCGGATGAGAAACAAAATTACAATGTTCATATTAGTAAAAATGGTATTTTGCTTGAATCCACCAGATGCCGACCTATTTCCGCTGTTACTGGTTCCTCCAGAATGTCCCTGCGAAATTACATCATGTGTGCTTGACCGACCTCAACCCGACGTTACATTCATATTAGTGGATGAGTAATACTGCAAATTTAAAGTGTTTAGACGGTTTACTCTAAGGTCTCTAATTTTTGTAACGGCATCCATGAAATTTTAATGTTAATAATATGTCTGTAGATATGCCATGGTTGCAAGAGAAGGAATGATCAAACACCTTCGCAAAATAACCAATTAGTTCTTTTGAACTTATCCTTCTGTTGACTTGCAGAAGCCTTATGTCGTCAAGTGCTTCAAAATTTCCCGAGGTACCTCCTGTTTAGGAAAGTTTTCGAATTCTACTGCATAGCATTTGTGGCGGCCTAGATACTTATAAGCCATTGCTATACTAGACAGCTTATCAAATTTATTTGACAGTAAAATAAACTTGTAATCATACTGACGGTTTCAGTCTAAAAACATGCAATTCCAATTTCAGCTCAGGTACACACCGTTACACTCCGCTGTAACATACCAATTCTCGCTTCCAAACTATGTAGATTGGCAATCTGTGTGATCGGCACAGAGAGGCCAAATTGCGATAGGCACAACACATTCCTATCTAGCTTGCTTGCTGGAGCGCATGAAACAAAATACCAGGGGCGCTTTGTTAGTTCCGCGTTAATTCTTAACCTTTCTGCCTTTCCCACTTTAGTTGGCTCACGTCAAATCCGTGTTCATCAAACCTAGCCCCCCACTTTCCACCTAATCCGACACTGCTCTCTAGGTGCATAAGTATTACTCTTCATTGCTTGGACTACAGGCATCAAGGCATTAATAACCGTGGGCATCACAGCTGTCGTTTGACCAAAACCTTGCTTACTTGCTCTTTGGCAACACTGGCATGACGATTGCCAACTTGCCTTTGACAGTGGTCAGTAAAAATGTGTCAATGTGATGATTGTTTATTAACTTTAAAGCTACATCATCACCCGTACAGATGCGGCGTGGGGGTGCGGTGGAATTTTCTTGAGGGACTAACCCGCACGTAGGCAACTTCCTAGGAGGCATTTCAAAGGATGTTGACGATACTTTACTTGAATTACTGGTCATACTTCCATTTTTTCCTACTATCTATTTCTCCATCTTTTTAGTACTTCAGTTATAGAATACCCCAAACCACCTTCGGGAATTACCTAGTAATAATTGAAAATCCTCCACTATTCGGTTAAGTTGCATAGATTGATCAGACTACGTAATCAGTCTGCTTTGAACTTTCGAGAATTATCTCATTTATTTCATTCTTTATTTTACATAACGATGTTTGCATGTCTGGATTTCATGTGATTTTTCTTATAGGGATTCAATACCTAATATGTTTGGATAGAATTATAACGCCGCTTAACCAAGTAGACAGCTGTGCTATCTCCGTTGCTCCAATCTTCTGCCTTAACACTTCTTTCCCTCTTATGTGCGAAGGGGCATAGGAAGTGTGTGCTGAGTTAGGAGCACTTTTACACAACACGCTCCTACCTGATTTGAGTATCAGTTATAACAAATTTCCTCACCTCAGAGAAGCCTTTACCTCCTTACTGGGCGGGGATCCAGCTGACCGAGAGCGCTTCAAGGGTGCTATAATTGATGTGAAAGGATGAAGCGATAAATGAGAAAGAAACCGACGCCTTGCAGAGAACCGGGTATTTGCAACAAGAAAGCTTATTGGGATAAATCGACCGCTCACACTTCAGGCACATCCGGTAGTTTTTATACCAGCCAGGGTGCATCATTTACCAACGTCTGCAGTTTCCTGAACAAGCGCGCTGACCTACGCCGCTTCGTTGCTTTCGAGCAACTAGATTTAGTGGGACTTGCAGTGGCTTGGTTAAACGATGAAGTACTCACACCGGAAGCTGGGTTTAGAGGCTACTCACCGTTCCGCTGTAATAGGCTATCGGATACCTGGGGTCGCATTTCGCCTTACATCCGTTGTTCTCTATGTGGGAGAATTGTAAGCGCTCACGGAAGCGAAGATGGCCTAACTAAACAGTAGTGCTTCCTAACCCACCTCATGCGCGGATGCATTGTGTCGCAGTAAACTGATCCATCATTATTATGTTAACTGCTGCGTCTTGGAGACCATGTGAGTCGCCCCCATTTTCTAGTCCTGGGTAATTTTATCTGTCATCGAATACGCTGGCGTGTGGTCTGTGCCGCCATCCGTGTCTGTTAAAGCTTGCTTATTAAATTTAAATAATAGAGTATCGCATTGTGTAACCCGTCTGTGCTTGTCAAGTATCAGAACCTTGGACAGGTCAAGTCACCTTGGTTTGACAAGGAATATGTTAAACTGGCTCGGCCGCGGCGCAAGCTGCTGCACAAATTTATCGTAGCTAGCTCGGTCGATGACTACGATGTGTATAAAAAGCAGCGAAAAGTTTTCAAGAAAGAGAAAAATAGCAAACTTCGGCATTTCGAGGAACAGCTAGCAAGCACCGCAAAGACTGACCCTTAGATTGTCGTTGCGTATGTGAAGCGGCGCCCGAAGTCGGCTGGCGACAAATCAGCGATAGAGGGCGCGGACAACCGCTCTAACCCCCAGTCCTGAATGTGCGTCCGCCATGGTGGCACAACCCGCTTTCGTGTTTGCAACTGTCTAGGTGTCTGTAACCATTTCGACAAAGAGCACTTTTAGCAAACTAGACAGTCTGGCTTGTGGTTTAGAATAGTTGTGTCAAATGCACGGCAACCACGACAGCTCCAATCCTGCTAGGCCCGACGAGCTCCACTCTATGATTCGCAAGTAAATATCGACCATCATCTCGCTTACTGTGACTGATCTGTTCAAGAAGTCGCTGTCCAAACTTCCGTCGCTGAATAAGTGGAGTTGCTCAGTCGTAGGGCCTATTCCGAGCGTCAGTTACCATAGGAAAGTAGACATTTATATGCAATTTGTTTGACACTTATTTTAACAACTGTTGCCAAGTTGGCTATGAGGAAAGGTTTGTCACAGCTGCTTTTGTCAAAAAGACCGACTTATGCCCACACAGCATGTTTCATGCCAGGTCGTTCATGCATCACCTACCTGTCTGTGACTTGTCAAGTCTGGTTGCAAGTAGTGAATCAGAAGAAGTCTGTCGACATAATCTACAACAATTGCAGCAAAGCACTGGACAATTGGAACTATCTACTCCTTCACAACCTGTGAGCATGCGGTGTTGTCGGCTTACTACACCAGTTGATCCGCGAGTTTCTCGTTGACCGAAAGCGAAGGGTACAAGTCGACGGCCACCTGACTGACTGTTATCCTTCGTCCAGTGGCTTACCAGAAGGCATGGTGCTAGGGCGTACGCTGTTTCTGTTTTATAACAAAGACCTACCTGGGCCGCTTTGTTCGCCACGTGACCTGTTTGTGGATCACCTGAGGATGTGGGGTTGATATGCGGGACCTCACCCGAATTTTCTTGTGGTCTTCATAAGTCCGCCTCCAGGTCAACCCATCCAAGTTCGTATTCATGAGCCTCGAAAAGCGTAGTGTCGAGCAAACCTACACCCTAAACGACCAACTGCTACGTATAACAACTTCTGTGAAAGACCTCAGCGTACTCTCACGATAAGATTTGTAGTCCGTGAACAACAAATGGGCTACACAGAAACGGAGTGCGCATGCTGTGAGCTATTACGGGCATTTTTTGTATTAATCTGAAGAATTCGTCACTAGCCTCTTATTCTCCACCATCAAGGGCAATGCTAGAGAGAGACTCACCTGCTTAATGCCCTATCACTGGAGGCAAGGCTCAGCGGACCGGACAGATCTAACATGTCAGCAACAGGCTCATACTCAATTTACTGGGCTTACTGCACGAGTACAGGGGCGACAGGCTGGGAGTGTACACCCTAGTCTAACGTTGGATATGAGAAGACATAAACTTGACTTAAAGTATTCTGCGTTTAGGTTAGTCCCCATGCTGAGGCCACTGCTTCCCTTGCAAGTACTTTAAGTCACATGCGGACATCATTACGAGCTTGTGGTTCCACGTTTGAAGCGAGTTCCCCATCTCCTGTGTTTTGAAAGGCGAAGGCCCAGTCTTTGGAACAGTTTTCCATGACACATCGTGGAAGCAAAATCAGTGCAACAATTCAAACGATTTTTGATGGGTAATTCATTACTGTTAGGTTTCGAGAACGATTACCCACTGATACCGCACAATTATTAGTTCCAGTTTACTGTGAGCTGTGCGTTTGTTTACGAAATCATGTGAGAACGTGAAAGGCGACCACTGTGTTGACAGAAGATAGGCCAGTTTTTTGCCGTTTTAGTAGCTCAGCAACATCTTATGGCTCTACATCGATGAGACTTTTGCTCTTCTAAAACTGGGTATAAAGGAGAAGCTTTTAAATCAGTGTTTCTCAACCTCGGGTTTATCAACCCCAAAAGGGTATAGTGGCATGTTAAGTGAGGGAATATAAATAGGAGGATTATGTCAACAATCCGTCGCCAAACAAAATTGTTAACCAAATCCCCCGTAGTAAATATGTAACTGGCTACGCAAGCACTATTGATTAGCCATCCGTGACAACTCATTAGTGAGTCTTCAGCGAATAAGACAATGTTCTCTACTTACTTCTATTACTTAAAGTACAAATACAAGCATGCATAGCAACTCATCTAACCGGCGCTTCTATTGGCTCACACTTCGATCTTTGTTCTTTCGAGTTAGGCAGTCGATCGCCGGCTCGAATTACAGTTGCATGAACATCAAGGTAGGAGCATAGGGCAGCCTACCAGGAAAAGTAATGAGCGAATGTTTACAAGGTCGAAGGGACAAAACGGTCGATCAGTGTCCAGT